GCTCGTCCCATAACAGCAAATATTCATTTTTATCAAAAATTCTTTTTTCTGGTTTGAGTTAGATAGTAAGTGAATTTGCATTGTCTGTCTGACTGCCAAAGAAGACGAAAATTTGTTTCCTCCGACAGCAAGACTTTGCGTTGTCTTCTGGTTCGCCAACATTCCTATTTGATGCTAGCAAATACCCGGCATATTTCCGACATTAAACTTTCCTAAATCTTTTCATTTTAATAGCCATATTGCAATATGCAATTTATCTTATCAATGAAAATAAATTAAAATTTTCAAACAGGTGGCAACCTTCAACAAACATATTTTCGGCTGTAAGCCTTTTAAACCTCTTTCTTTGACAGTCACATAGCGATATCTACTTTATTTTATCAATTAACTTAAGCTGAAACTTTCAATCAGATGGCAACTTCCTAATTTTTCTTCATTTTATATATTAAGTTAGATATCTAGCAATATATCGGTTTCATGCATTAGTTTTCGAGACATGTGATGCACGTACAAACATACAAACAGACACCATATTAATTTTTCTTTAATATTTATAATATGTATGGGTAAATTAACTGAAGTGGTCAAAGTGTTGCGAAAATTTCTGTCGATGCAGTTTAGATGAGAAAATATCTTTTCTGGCTCTCCCTTCATCTTTGGTGCCCTTCTTGATTAAAGTTTATATGCACAGGCTCATTTTTAGGTCCGCTGCATCGTTCTGTCGCCCTCCCTGGTGGTATAACTTGCTACCTTTTATTAAATATGCTATGATGGTATACAATAGTTGAAGGGAAGCCAAATAGCCTTTCTCATCACTTGAAAGACGCTCGTCGAATTTGGCAAATTTTTTTGTTGTCTTTCTGACTCTAAGTACACGATCTCGTTGACATTTAGCTGGTAAATGTTTTGCAAAAGTATTTCCATTATTTCATGTTTTCATGTCATTAGAGGATATAGGACCGCAAGGCGAAACTACGCCCAGTTTGATAGGAAAAAATATAAAAGTAAATATTAAAAATTAAAAGACCCTCTACTGAGGCATATGACTAGAACTATACGTAGTATATTACGTAGCATCCGTAATGACGCCTGCTGAAAGCAGAGCAACCTCCAAGATACGTCAGAAGCCATGAATTGGAGGCATACATACGGTGACCATCCGTTCTGTTTTTTGCAGGACCGTACTGTTTTTCAAAGATCGGTCCTGCGTAGTTTTTCAAACCTAAAAAACCTGGAAATGTACTGATTTTTTCCAAGTGTCCTGCATTTGTCCCGCATTTTATTCGTTATTTTAAAATTATCGGACAATGGATGGATTTTTTCAAAAATGTGTTTTTTGGTACTTTTCGTAGCTTTTCTTCAATATCTCATGAAAAACTCTCCCAATCAACGTAAGCGACTTACAGCTCGAAGGGTATTGATGTGCCTCTTACCAAAATATATAACTTGTGGCGACTTCAATGAAAACTATTAGTGCCACAGGCGACCATTTGCATTTTGTTGTCAAAGTCGAAAAAAGTGAGAGTTTCAATCNCACAGGCGACCATTTGCATTTTGTTGTCAAAGTCGAAAAAAGTGAGAGTTTCAATCAAATACGCAGCTTTATTTGGTATTTTTTTTTTTATTAATTTAAAAATTCGATAAATAAGATATATCATTACAGTAAATTTTGACCCAAAGATAATGAAAATCGGATTAGAAATGTAGATGCTATGAAGCGCAATCTGCACAAATTATATATTTTTGAAAAGGGCACATAAATACCTTTGTAACTCGTCGTTTACGTCGATTCATGACGTCGATTTTTGACAAATTACTGCGAAAAGTACCAAAAAACAAAAAAAGTTATTGTTTTCGTTTTGAACGACTCAAAATTTGCCTATAAAATAATCTTTTAAAGATTTTCACTTTTCGTATAAGCTTTGTAATTATAATATGTTTTACTATACTTTTATAAATATTCATGTAAAAAAGATTAATATCGATGAAGAAAACGTAATTCGTTTTTTTAAGTTTAAAATGTATTAAGAATTTAGAATCATAAATACTCTTTGATATTTTTATACTAAGTAAGTATATGTAGGTATATTTTTGAAAAATTGTCCTTCATTTTGAATCCATATTTATGGTCACCGTAGGCATACATCGATAGTTTACACTGCAACCGACATTGTATGACGAACCACTCCACCGCAGCGTACACCCGTTCAATGCGTAAGGCGAAATACTGTTGTAGTTTTCGACCGGTGGTCCTTGACCTAGTCTTTCAACCGTTCAATCACTTCATTCAAAAATATTTACATATGTACATATTTCAATTCCATTTTCCAATTAAGTTCTCAACTACAAATCTCAAGTTTATTGTGATCTTGATGCTTGAAACAATTGACCATTACCTTCAATGCTCACCAAAATGTGCGCATACATATGGAGCCACTAATGAGTGAGCCAATTATTTTGAAAATATTTCCCCAGCAAAGGCCTTGACAATTATTTGGCTTGCCTGACAACCAATGCATAGTTGGTGTGGCACAATCCACCTTAATGCATTCAAAGTTAGAGGTCAATTTGACATTTGAACAAGCCGGTTAATGATAAAATTGCTAATTTGCATACAACCACGCCGGCAAGGATATCAGCTGACCTTGGAAAATACGAATAAGTCAATCAGTGGCAGCTAATTCTTAAAATAATCATCAAAAATATGTCAGTTAATTAGCGATGGGAATAAGCCAAACAGCAACAAACATATTACATAGCAAAGTATTTTTTGATTACATACGTACGTAATAATATGTATATTCATTAGGGTGGCCCAAAAGCTGGAAAGTCGAAATTTTAATACTTACACCCTCTAGGATCTGNAAAAAAATATTTTTTTGTGAAATCAAAAAATATTTAGAGCTCGCTCGAAGCGCTCAAAGTTTTCCATGTATTTTATATGGGAGAAAACAATTTTCTTAGAAATAGTATAGAATTCTCGAAAATAAAAATTTTTCGAACGGACAACTTAGTTTCTCTTCAGGAGGCTTTCAATTGGGTATTTTTATTGGGAATCGCCTGCAGAGAAACAGAATTTTTCGATCGACAAATATTGATTTCTATACAATTTCTACGAAAAGTTGTTTTTTTCATAAAAAATACATGAAAAACTGTGAGCGCTTTGAGCGACCTCTAAATATTTTTGATTTCAAAAGAAAAGGGGGGGGGTATATTTTTTCGGTATGGAGTGAGTGAGGGCGTAAAAATTCCGACTTTACTTTTTCACATGCTTTTTTGGGGCCGCCCTAATGTCCATACATATGTACATATACATTAGACTGCATCACCAAAAAAAGTTGCGGTTTTTCCGCCGAAATTACAAAATTTATTATATTTTAAGACGTCCACCAAAATATTTCGGAAAACTATTAAGATTTAAGCGAGCTGGACCGATTTGAAAATACCTCCAAAAATGAAGTTTTTTATGAATAAAGATAGTTTCTTAAAGAACTTTTTGAAAAAAGTCTCCTCAGATGACAAATTAGATTAAGCTTAAAAAATCTGCATAAAAATATTTAAAAATCTTTTCAACGGAATCGTAAGAATGAGATTTTTGATGCTGTTTTTTGATACTTTTCTCAAAGATTGATTTATGAAAAACGTAAATAACTGGGCCAAAACTATTCTGATTTAGTCTTATGGGATCTCAATAGAAAGGTATTTTCACACTGTTTTTATTTCTGTCCAAAAAACAGTCATTCGTGTCCCAATATTTTTTTTTCAGATACCAACACATCTTAATTCAACTCTGAATGACGTTCCTTCATCCTACCTTTCTCTTTCATCCTTTGAATGAGTTTATTAGCAAAGAAATAAAAAGGTAGAGAAAATACCTTTCTAATGACACCTCCTAAGTCTAAATCGGAAGAGTTTAGGTTCAGTTATTCAAGTTTTTGTTATAACAATCTTTAAAAAAAGTTAAAAAACAGCATCAAAAATCTCATCATTACGATTCCGTTTAAAATTTTTTTAATTTTTTTTTTAATAATTTTATGCAAATATTTTAAGCTGAAACCGTTTTGTTATTTGAGGGGATTTTTTCAAAAAAAAATCTTTAAGAAACTATTTTTATTCATAAAAACTCCATTTTTGGAGGTATTTTCACATCGGCCCAGCTCACTTAAATCTTAATATTTTTCCGAAATATTTTGGTGGACGTCTTAAAATATAATAGATTTTATAATTCCAATGGAAAATAGTAGCGATTTTATTTTTTGTATGGGGAGTGCTGCAGTCTAATATACATATGTATTTGAACTATGTTGCTGAACACTGACTAGAACGCTACACACGATTAACTAAATTCAATTAATGGGCCGGGTCAGGCTCGCAAACAAACAATAGGATTATCCATGGCAATAAATCAGGCATTGGAATGAAAACGCGAAGAAAAAGCGAAAAAGGCAAACGAGCAACAATGTATGAACAAGTTAATATAAGTAAATACATGCATACAACAATACATACATAAATAAATAAATACATATGTACGTACGAGCTACATACGTATGCTATGCCAGTGCGGGTGCCCATGCGCCAAGGGAATTGATAAAAAATCGCATATCGTAAATTCGCCAAAGATGCAACACACACGAAAAGCGAAAACACCAACAACATAACTAACAACAATAAAAAATGTAAGCAGCTGCTGCTTCTGCTTCTACTTCTGCAACTAAAGTAATCAATCAGTTGCAAAGTCAGCTAACAAATTGTATAACAGCTGAGCATTCTACAAAATTACTTAGAATGAAAATGCATAAGTTGCAATGGAATTGGATGGCTATTTTCATATCTAATCTTTTGCCGCTTCTCAATGTGGAGACTTCGGTGGTGTGCGGCACTCAATTGCTGCGCTGGGATTGGAAGCAGCCCAACGGTGACTGGAATGAGCTGTGCTCATCGTTTGATGGTATAAAAAGGGCTCAACTCTGGAGATGCATCCACACAAACGCAGTGTCCGTGGGTCGGGTCGCTTTGTTCAAATTTAAACATTTTCCATTCGTTTTGGACGAATAATAGTTGCGTATACGCCGTGTAGTTTGCGTTACAGTGGGAAGTGCATAGTGTGAATGCGCACAAAATTTTGAAAATTGGAAAAGTTTTGGAGTGCCTGGGTATCTAAGAAAAGAAAAAAATTTTATAAGAAAAGCGGAGTCTTAGACATTTTTGGAAAAAAATTTTAATAAATTTTTAATAAACTCGTACGAGTAATTGAGAAAAGAGAGCAATCTTACTTGAATTAAAACGCGAGTTGTGCATTAAATCGTATTTCTTTGAAAATCGTATTAATATGTTGAAGATATTAAATTACTTTGGTAAGTTCAAGTAAAAACAATAATAAGAAAATTATCCAACAAAATTGTTTACTATTTCAAGAAACAAAAAATTAAAAAATTTAATTTATTGGGGAGGAGATAAATTAATTTCTCTTAGTCATTTTCGGTTTCGGCACCCAAAAAACATAGGCATAAATATCCATCTCAACTTTGTATGAATAAGATAAGATACTTCTGCTTTCGGATCTCTCATTTAAAAGTAGTGCAAGACTAAATAATTTAATTTTTAACAAAAGAAAAATCTTTGAAGAAAAATTCTTTTTTAACGGGTGTTAATGAACATAGCTGCCTATTTTATATATTAAATAATTTAACAATATATCGGGAAAATTTAAATTTATTCTTCAAAATTATAGGCTCATTAAAGTAAAAAAATAAATGCTTGCATCTAAAATTAGTTAGTTTTCTCCAGATAAATAAAATTTCTTATAAAAACTACATTCGGTTGGATTTGCCATATAGTTTTAAAATATCTTTTTTTATAAACCCCGGGAAATTTATTTTATTTAAATACCACTTCAGTACTTTTCTTCCGCATTTTCAACTGTGTTTTTTTCTCCTCTGGAATTAATCGAGACAATCCACGAAGAGCTGTTGTTACATCCACCAAATCAACTACTGTCTTTCGACTTACTACAGTCCTTCGGGAGAAAGTCTTTCGTTAGAAAATTGTCAATTCTGGCAACCATCTTGTAAGCTCTTCACTGTCTTTCGAAAGGCTAATTGAAAGCGAAGAGGCCCTAGCGTTATGCTGTTCGCCTTTTAGCAATAAGTTTTTTTTGGGTTAAAATATATATGCTTTTTTCATTTTTGAAACAATATTTATTAGTTTATTAAAAAAAAATTTACTGAAAAAAAAGAAAATAAAATGAAAATAGAGCAAAACCAAATAAAAATATTTTTAAAAATTAAATGAAATAAAACAATGTTTTTTTCTTTTTAAAACAATAAAATTTAAAAATACATTAGAAAAGGAAAAAGTTTTATCAATAAAAAAAGAAATTAGTGCCTAAAATCTAAAAAAAAAAAAATTTAACAAAAATTTTTATTTTTAAAACAAAGTCTAAAATTCAATGCGAACTCTTTGAAATTCATTCAAAATACCATACATATGTATATCGACATATTTACATGTACATGTGTGTATGTTTGTATGTACATACATATGTATTTACAAAAAGTATTACTTGAAGAAGCCAGGGTTACTTGCAACGTCATCAATATTAGCCTACAGCGGAAGTCGGCCAAGCTCATCAAACCGGCAGCAAAACAATTGGAAATATGGCCAGAGTGGCACGTGTGGATTATACACTTAGAGGAGTTACATACATACATACATATATACTTACATATACACTGCAAATCATGCTTTCAGAGTATGTATTTTGAATAGCAGAGAAATCTTAAAGAATTCTTAAAGAAATAATTTTTTCTCTTTCCGATTTTTTTTTTGCCGAATTTTGTAAGAGGAAATGTACTTTGCCAATTATTTTACGAAATTTCGGAAGGCAATCGGTAGCATTAACTACGAATATTAGAAAAAAATAAATTTTTGGCCCCATGAATTAGAAAGAAAAGCGTCATGCTGAATACTATGTCAGACAAAGAGACCTGCCAAATTTTTACTTGTTTGGAAAAGTAATAAACATATAACATACGCGGTTTGCGAAAGTCAGACATGGAAATAATGAAAAAAATGAAAAAATATTTATAAAAATTAATTTTATTTATAAAATTTAAATTTTGGAATTATTCTCAAATAACTCCAGCTTGCGTAAATATTTAAACTTTTCCAAAATTTTTTGGCGGAAGTCTTAAAATATAATAAATTTAACATTTCCAATGGGAGAAGCGTACCAATTTTTTTATGAAAAATGGTGCACCCTAATGTACATACCTACACATTACGCTACCAGTTCAGCGCTGTCGATTCACTGTTGCCACTACAAACCACCGCAAGCAATGATAAATGTTCGCATTCAAATTGGCCACAAACAGATTGCAATCACGTGCAGCCGCTACTAGCCGCTTGTGGCAACACTCAATGCAGCAACGACGAACTTGGCCTTAGAAAACTGGGCCAGAGCCAAATGCGTCGCGTAGAGGCATTTTGATTTGCCACAGCGGACGTCTTTAATTCATTTTGTGCTGAGGCGGTCAAAAATATGTACTCGTTCATACATACATACATACATATCTACATACATATGTAAATACCTATTTGTTTTTGCTGCTAATTAACTGGCCTTTTTCTTTTAATTGCAGGACTTTCACTGTTGCTGTTCAGCGCGGGCACTTGGGTAAGCGTAGTTTTTGGACTTTATTTACATCAGGCAATACCCAGCCTTGGGCATGACTGATTTACATAGAATATTAATTTCTCTCTTTCACCCTCTCTTTCTCCCACTCTCTTCCAGGCACAAAGCGGTTACAATTATGCGCGTCCCGAGATCTCTAATGTTGCCGGTGGCACCACTGGCAGCTCAAACGCCTTGCGTCCATTAGTTCCTCTCGGTAGCAATGCCATTACTGCGCCTACAAACGCCGCAGTCGGCTATGCCTCAACCGCTGGCAGCGCTTATGGCGGCACAGTAGGCGCCGCTGCATCTCCATTTGGTGGCTTCGGCGCACAGCCTACAGCACTCGGCGCAACCGGCCCAACCGGCTATAGCGGCAACACGGGCGCCTCTACACTACCAGTGGGCACAGGATTTAACGCAGCAAAGCGTCCCATTTTAGGCGCTCAGCAGCGCGGTGGCAGCGCACAATTTGGCGGCGGTCTGTCGAATCTAGCTGGCGGTCAGTCAGCCTACAGCAACGCAGCGCGCACTTCTGGACTCAATGACGTGGACTATAGTGGCGACGGTGACTACTCTGCCATACCGGGCGTGCCGGCTGTCGATTATCCAGTGTATGCGCAAGTGCCGCAAACGAATTTCGATTGTACGCAGCAACTGCCCGGCTATTATTCGGACGTTGAGGCGCAGTGTCAGGTCTTTCACATTTGCGCGCTCAATCGCACTTACTCATTTCTCTGTCCGAATGGCACCATCTTTAGCCAGGAAACACTCGTTTGCGTGTGGTGGAATCAATTTGAATGCGGCACCGCGCCTGCGCTTTACGGCAACAACGCCTACATCTACGATTATGGCAATGAACAACGCAACACCGCTGGCGCATACAGCAATGCGGGAGCCACAGCTCAATTGGGTGCGCGTCAACCGGCAAATTATCCAGGCGCCGCTAGTGGCAGTGGCTTGCGCGCTACAAGCGCTACGCTGCCAGCAGGCGGCGGTGGCATTTTTGGCGCGAGCAATTTACGTTCAACCGCTTACGGTGCTGTGCCCAGCACAGTAACACCAGTGCCATCGACCGCGGGCTATAATGCAGGCGCTGCCGTCAGTGCTGGTCGCTTCTCAGCCGCTGCACCTACCGGCGCTCAAGCCTTTAACAATGCTGTTGCACCAATTTCATCTACCCAGGCTAGTTATGGATCCGGTGTTGGTGTTGGTGTCGGTGTAACCGGCGGCGCAGGTGTGCCTGCTGGCGCGGCCAATTCCGGCGTGAATAGCAATCGTGAATATCTACCACCATCNGCTAGTTATGGATCCGGTGTTGGTGTTGGTGTCGGTGTAACCGGCGGCGCAGGTGTGCCTGCTGGCGCGGCCAATTCCGGCGTGAATAGCAATCGTGAATATCTACCACCATCGCAGCAGCAACGTCGGCCCTAAAATTGTGAATTGTAAATAGACGTACCTGAAAAAAAAATCCGCTCCCCACGTAATGGACCACTGGCACATGTACCCGGCTTTTTTGTTGTTCCTGCCGCGGCACATCCGTACCACCGCTTAGGTTGTACTGCGTAGTTTAAATTCTTATTTTTAGATTTAATCATCATTTATGTAAAACTACTCCACTATTTTCAATTCATCAAACTAACCCTAACAACACTTTTACAAAGGCATGTCTACTTTTTCAAATCCCACAACGAACTTATCTCTCTCTCTCTCTCTAGTTTAAGTTTGCGAATCTCACTTTATAAATATTAGTACGATTTTATGCATTTTTTACAAAATAAAGTACTCAAATACTTAAAGATTTTAATTTATAATCCTCGTAGCAAATATTAAAGTATACCTATTAAGTTTTTCAATGATGATTAGGTTAAGTTAAGCGCACTGCACTTGTCAACAGTACACTCAGTGAGCAGTAATTAACGGACCCTACCCATTCCTTGCACTGTCACTCATGTGGATTTAGGGTCTGCTCATCGAGCGGAGACCAGGGTGATCGCTATACTCTGCATGTGTCCAAAAATCTCTGAGAACTCTCGGTTTTCCCAAGTCTTGTAGCAGACCCTTCAACCGTGCGTGGCGTTTCTTAGCGATCCCACATAGCAAGCGACCGACCAAGTAAAGTTTTTGATATGTGCGCGCCAATATAAAATATTTAGTAATGAGCAGACGCATCTCTGGAAGGATATGTTTTGATTGTAACTGCAAATGATGGCCTCAATTACAAAATGGCTCTGGAAGCAGCTTCTATTTGCTGTGCAGTGACGTAACATTCCTGACTGAACGACGTGAAATACAACAACTTCTTCGGAGCTAGTCAAAAATGGGCTCTAAACCTAGTCCTATGTGCGCTCCGAGCTCTTCATAGCCGGTGCAAGTCTTCAATACTGGTACAGCCGCAAAATCGACTCTCATATTAGGAAAACAAAAATTGTTGCAGCAAACCCTCTATGCGCACAACAAGATCAAGATTACAACATTCTGAGATCTTCGTTCGAGGATTCCTATACAATTGTCGACTAGGGAACTAGGTATGTAGAGAGGAAAAAGACGCTGCTGACCTATTGGTGGCAGAGAATTGCATTACTACCTACATCGCTAGCTCAACGATGGAAAGAGAGAGAATCTGCAGATTAGGCAATCCGTCTTTGCTAAAGAGATTTTCCAGAGGCTGAATGCCTAAACGCAAACGATGAGCCGTTATTCCGAACCGAGGTNAACTAGGTATGTAGAGAGGAAAAAGACGCTGCTGACCTATTGGTGGCAGATAATTGCATTACTACCTACATCGCTAGCTCAACGATGGAAAGAGAGAGAATCTGCAGATTAGGCAATCCGTCTTTGCTAAAGAGACTTTCCAAAGGGTGAATGCTGCCTAAACGCAAACGATGAGCCGTTATTCCGAACCGAGGTGTTTTCAATCCTCAAGATCATGAACTACGTGGTGGATATTAAGTAAAGATGCAGGATTTTACATACATATCTGTCGTGCACTCAAGGCGTTAACTATCCCTTGGACTACTTCTAGGCGGATGCGGCAATGCAAGACTCGACTAAATTTTGTTGGCAGCAACTAGTGAAGTGACAGCTGACCATTCGGCTAGAGAGAGCACAGAACAGGGATTCCCGGGTCCGCAACGAGTTAGTCATTGGGAAGATGGGAACGCATACAACTTGTTAAATTGCTGACTGTTCAATTTTCGTGGCGCAAACACCTGATTGTGATCAGCATACATGACGATCCCTTTTGCCTTTCCTATCTTTAAGACAATGAGACGGCGGAACATCTTTCGAGCTTCTACTCCACCTCTATATGATTAGGTATGAGGCTTTTGGCAGCGCTGAGTTGAGCTGCTCAGGCTTCGATTTCATGCCTGGCAAAATTGTGTTGGTATCAAAAGGTCAGCTATCCTTGTTCCNGTTAGTCATTGGGAAGATGGGAACGCATACAACTTGTTAAATTGCTGACTGTTCAATTTTCGTGGCGCAAACACCTGATTGTGATCAGCATACATGACGATCCCTTTTGCCTTTCCTATCTTTAAGACAATGAGACGGCGGAACATCTTTCGAGCTTCTACTCCACCTCTATATGATTAGGTATGAGGCTTTTGGCAGCGCTGAGTTGAGCTGCTCAGGCTTCGATTTCATGCCTGGCAAAATTGTGTTGGTATCAAAAGGTCAGCTATCCTTGTTCTATTCCAACTCCTTTAGTTCACTCTTCTCTTAAGATTTCTCTTTCGGCATACACAACCGCTAACGAAAGATATTATAATTTTATTTTTAATAAACATTAAATAAAAATCTTACAAGCATAATAACAGTTTAAATGAAATGATTTTTTTAAACTATCTATTTTTTTCTAATATATTTTCTCCCCCCGCGCCAACATTCATTAGCGTCGACGCCAACGTTGATGGCGGCGCAGCAATGCAATCTGTGCATTCATCTTGCGCGCCATAGCTCGCACCTGATCGAGATCACGCAAGTGCCGGCCGTATGGTGGACCCGCATCCTCACGACCTGCCAACTTTCGTTTCTCTGCCTTCTTCTCAGCATCCGCCACAGATTTATCGATTCGTTGTTTAACGTTGCGCTTCTTCGGATCATAGACACGTTTCTCACAGCAACTGCAACATGTACGCTTACACCAGCGACCCCAACTGCCGAATTCAACTCGAAGAAATTCATAAAAGCCCAGCTCACTCGCCTCCTCATCGTCTGGTGTATTTTTGTTCTCCGCAAAGTAGTCGCAAATCAGCGTAATGAAAAGATTCAGCAAAACAATTGCAATTACAAACATTAGGAGCGCATACAAAATGAAGCCGAGCGTCAAGCCGCCATAGGTTAGATCGTAGGGACTAACAGTGCTGCTGAAGCCAAATGAGTAGCTCATCGAGGCGGCGAAACTTCTGAATAAGTGCGTAAAGTGTTCGCTGTCATTGCCATTGATTATGTACGAGCTAATGCCAAAAGCGATTAGCCATATAACGATGATCACCAGCAGCGTGAGTAGCGCAAAGCGGGCGCGATACAGCGTGCGTGTGAAGACACGAAAAGGCTTAGCGAACTGAAAAATCTTCCACAGCCGCAAGGTGGTCAAGCAAATGAGGAATCCAATCATCAGATTGGCTAGATAGTCGATTTGTGCTGGCACGCGAAAATCCACAAACTCCAGCTTCATCGAGTCCTCGAAGCGCGCCATTAACGCTGCCACCTTAGCCTCGCGTACAATAATCAAAATCAGGATGAACAAATTCAAACCAATTATCACAAAGTCCACAGCATTCCAGGGCGACGAGGACATTTTTGTTTTGTAGAGCATATTCAACACCAAATGTTTGGCGAAGTATATCAAGGTGAGAAGGTACAACAGGAATACAAGCAACATTATGCCGTTCACATTATCCAAATTCATCAGCAACTCAACACTTTGCACATCGACATGTGACAGCACATTGCCAAAGGGTGTATACTCCAACAGAATCGTGCAGACGCTAAAGATATTCGAGTCGACATTGTAGAGCGTAAAATCGATAAAGACACCTGCAGTGCGCGCATCAATCCAGTTCGATGCTTTCAGATATTCCAATATTTTCAGGCTATTGTTCAAGTCGCGCGACAAAAAAGTCACATAACCGTTATTCTCTGCATACGTATGCAAATTGCCGTAATGATGACGCGGCGTAAATATATTCCAATCCACTTGTCCCTCCAACCACGGTCCGTAAGTGTGTATGTACTTGCTGATGTAGTGCAGCTGTTCGTATGGCAAACGCCAACGTGGCATAAAATTTCGCTCATCGAAGCTAGGCGTATCTAGACCGATATGCTCATCCAAGCGCCGCACTTGTCTCAGCCGCACAACGCCCAACAGCTTAGCTATATTATATTGTATCCAGCCGGGTTCTTCAATAACCTCCTCATTGTAGTCGCGACCCTGATTGAAAGCTTGTACCACAATGCGTCTTATATAGTCGTAGACATCATTCGGCGTGTGCACATAATACAGTCCGGCAGCATCTAAACGCTTTTCCAGGAAAACCGTTTGAAGCGTATGTGTATTGTAGTAGGTAAGGTAATCGCGCGAGCCGACCACCAAAAGCATTAGCAGCAGAAAATAGAGTCCATAGAGCCGCAATTCGTTGATAATCAGTTTGTATTTGAGATTGAGCGACTCATTGTAGTGCGCTGACGTTGCGTGCATGGCTGCTTCGTGGCTAGCTAGCTGCAGACGCACCAACGCGTCTTCATCGTAGTTGTTAGTGGCTGCGGAGCGTCCCACATCCGGTCCTTCCTGTATGGCTGGTTTCTTGCGCAATGCGGCATAACAGGCGTATCCAAGAAATTTGATGAAGTCGCCAATGAGGCAATGGAAAAATAGCACGACGACAATGACGAAGAGTAGCGCCCTAAATTTGCGTGACTCGTGCAGGAAGCCGGACAGGCAGATGATCAAGATTAGGCAGATGATAACAATGAAGTTGCATACCCCGAAGAGAATAAGTGTCTTGCGACGCGACTTCATAACGCTTGTAATGTGTGATTTGTGGAAAATCTTAAGTGAAAAATATTTTTTTGTTGATGCGAATGACAAGTTTTTCACAATAAAAACAAAACATGTGTAACGCGTTGACTTTGAAATGGAACAAGGTTAAGTACTTTCATAAAACTTGTTAATAGTAAGTACTTATGCACAATACTGGTTTGGGTTAAAATAGTTAAAAACTTATATTCTTCAGAGAGGTATATTTCTTGGGACATACAGGCTAACTCCTTCACCACGGGAATATCCACAAGGAGAACCGAAGCATTCCTTCAGCTTAGTAGTCATAAAGTAAGAACTGTTACAAGTTTTCTTACTGGCC